ATTTGTACGATAAGCATTTTCCTAATAAAATAATCCGTATTAAAACTAAAGGTCTTCTTAATCCTTGGTTCACTAAAAGCCTTTTAAAGTCTTCGAAGCGAAAACAAAAGCTATATATACGCTTTATTAATTCAAAGAAAGAACGTGATAAGCATAATTACTTGGAGCACAAACGTCTATATGAAAGAACTAAAAAAATTGCCAGAACTACATACTTTAAAAACAAGCTGTTAAAACTAAAAGGTAACTGCAAAAAAACGTGGGATGCTATTAAAGAGATTCTTGGAAAACAAAAAATACACAACAAAGCCTTACCAAGCGTGATTACTGTAGACGGCACACAGATCTTTGATGTAAAATCGGTGGCAAGAAAACTTAATGAGTTTTTTGTAAATATTGGTACAAATTGAAATCAATGCTATATATAAATAACATCAATATTGAGCGCTCATTCACAAATAAATTGCTTGGTATTTTAATAGACAAAAACTTATCCTGGAGAGCTCATATAAATCATATTAGCAATACAATCTCAAGAAGTATTGGCATCTTATATAAAACCAGACGAATCTTAGACAAATCTACACTAACTCAACTATATTTTGCATTCATAAATAGTTATTTATCTTATGGCAATATTGTTTGGGGTAGTACAAATAAATCTAAACTCGACTGTCTCCTTAAACAACAGAATCATGCAGCACGCATTATTCATTTTCAAAATCGCTTCACAAATGCTAAACCCCTTCTAAAAAGCATGAGGGCACTTGATATTTATGAGTTAAATATTTTCAAAATTACACAATTTATGTTTCAACATCAGTCAAAAAAAACGCCGAAGGTTTTCGAAAATATTTTCCATAAAACATTAAACCGATACAACACGCAATCTACCGAAAGATTTAGAAAACTTTTCCGTTCATCAAAACTTACGAGCTTTGCCATTTTCTATCGTGGCCCAATGCTATGGAACCATTTTACAAGTCTGAGTGGTAAACTTAAAGAAGCCATAAACCTCTCAAAAATTTAAAAAGAACATAATCGAACTTATTGCCAATCACGATTCTTTACATGATTTTTTCTAACAATACACGATTATTTCCAATTTTTATTATCAAAGGTTACTGATGAAAAGACTTTATCTTCTTCAGGTTCTCCGGTCTTGTAACTATTATAAATAATGAAATGTACTTGTATTTAATATTTCTAAATATTTTACGGAAATAATCTTTATTTGTAAATGGTTGCTTGACAAAAATTGAAAAAAAAAAAAAAAAAAAAAAAATATCAGAAGATTAAAAAAAATTTTTGATAACTTTTTAAATATGATTTGTCAAACGGAAAATTTTTTAAACGTTATTTGCTTAACTGAAACTTGGTGGACAGAGAAAGATTTTAAATTAAACTCTAATCTCCATCTTACAGGTTTTAATACAGTCTCCTCAGAGCGTAATGTTAATAAGCGCGGAGGAGGAGTTCTTTTTTACATAAAAGAAAACTTTGCGTATAATATTCGAAGCGATATGACTGTTTCTGATGATAATATTGAGATTTTAACGGTTGAAATAATAAATAAAAAATCTAAAAATATTTTACTAAGCTGCTGTTATCGGCCACCAACCGGAAGAACTGAGTACCTAAGCAATTATCTAGTTCATAATATAATAGAAAAAACTAGCGAATAAAAGAAAAAAAAATTATATACTTGGGGATTTCAACCTTGACTGCTTCCAGTATAATGAAAAAAAATATATAACAAAGTTTTATAACCATTTATTTGAAACGGGAACAATACCCATTATAAATAAACCTACTAGAATTACAAAGTCTTCATCCTCCTTAATTGACAACGTTCTTACCAATGACTATTTCAATATTACACTCATAAAAGGTATTATAAAAACTGATGTTTCGGATCACTTTCCTTTTTTTTTCTGCTTAGGCGCTGACCACAAAACAAATACGAATGGTAAAATAACATTAAAAAAACGAATTTATAGCAACAATAACTTAAATTTATTTAAAGAGCAACTTTTACACCAAGACTGGAGCAATATAAACTTTAATGAGGATATAAATATCATCTACAAATCTTTTTTTAATATATTTTACAAAATATATGAAGCAAATTTTCCTATTCGAGAAATAGTTCTTAACGCCAAAGACATTTCTTGTCATTGGATAACTAAAGGAATAAAAAAATCATCAAAAATAAAACAAAAACTCTACATTAAATATCTTAAAAAATAAATCCGACAAACATAAAAATAACTACTCAGTTTACAAAAATCTATTTGAAAAACTCCGTAAAAATTCCAAACAAATTTACTACTCTGGCTTGCTTATAAAACACAAGCATAATTCAAGGCGGGTGTGGCAAATAATGAAAGAAATTACAAGCAACCATAAGACAAGCACAAATACGATGCCGAATGCTATAAAATTTGAAAATAAGTTAATTACCGATTCAAATGAAATTGCAGCCGAATTCAATAACTTTTTTTCGTCAATAGGACATAACATATCAAACAAAATTCCTTATGTAGACAACAACTCTGTTGATGAATTTATATCATCACCAAATTCAGCTATAACTTTTTCAAATCTAACTTATAATGAATTCGAAATTGCATTTAAATCATTAAAAAGGAATAAAGCAATAGGGCCTGATGATATAAATGGAAATATTGTAATCGACTCTTTTAATGAGATTAAAGATATCCTCTTCAAAGTCTTCAAAGCATCTATTACTCAAGGATCGTTTCCAAATAGTTTGAAAATAGCCAAAGTAACTCCAATCTTTAAAACAGGTGACCATACCAACATAACAAACTATCGTCCTATCTCAGTTCTACCGGTCTTTTCAAAAATATTTGAAAGAATAATGTATAATAGAATTTACACTTATCTTATTGATAATAAACTCCTTTATAAAAATCAATTTGGTTTTCAGAGAAACAGTTCTACTGAACACGCTATTCTCCAAGTAACACGCAGTATTGCCGATTCATTTAAGAATTCTCAATTCATACTAGGCATATTCATTGACTTGTCGAAAGTCGATGAATATGCCTGATACTGTTAATCTAATAATATCTGATACAGTTAATTTGATACTGTTAATCATCATATTTTAATAAAAAAGCTAGAGAGCTATGGTGTAAAAGATAAAACCCTAAATTCGTTCAAAAGCTATCTAAGTAACCGCAAACAATTTGTTTATAACAAAGAATCTTCATCGCAAATAATAAAAAATATAACATGCGGTGTCCCCCAAGGGTCCATACTTGGACCACTATTATTTCTGTTATACATAAATGATCTTTACAAAGCTTCTACCCTAACGACCGTAAATTTTGCAGATGATACGAATTTATTTTAGTCGCACGAAAACATAGAAATACTTTTTAATAATATGAATAATGAATTAAAAAGAATATCATATTGGTTTAGAAAAAATAAATTGTCCTTAAATACGGATAAAACAAAGTTTATACTTTTTCACCCAACCTTTAAAAAAAAGAGAATCCAAAATATCTTACCTGACCTATTCATTGACAATACAATCATAAAAAGAGAAAAGTTTACAAAATTTTTAGGTGTCATATTAGATGAAAACTTATCTTGGAGTCAGCAAATTGATAGTATTTCAATGAAAGCTGCTAAAAACATTGGAGTTCTATACAAAACTCGATATATACTAAATAAAAAGCAACTAACTCAACTATATTATTCATTGCCATATAAACTATGCCAATATTATATGGGGAAGCGCTAACAAAACCAAACTTAAATCTCTCTATCGGCATCAGAAACACGCAGCTCGCATAATTAATTTTGAAAATTGTTTTTCAAGCTCAACACCACTTCTTATAGAAATGAAAGCTTTAAATATATACGAACTAAATATTTTTAATATTTTATGTTTTATGTTTAAATGTAAAGAAAATTTATCTCCAAGTGTATTTATAAATCTCTAAAACTTCACCTTGATGAAGTATACAAGCATTTTTAATTTTTGTTTTATGAACCAGATTAAAATGATGCATTTTTTGGCTACTCGCTATTATTTAGTTTAATAATAATAACTAAATAAAAATAAAACACGTTATTTTAGCTTTATGTTTTATATTTTTCCAACAACCGTTTCTTTTAAAATGATTGCAGTTTGTTATGCAATATGCAAATATTTTGTTTTATTTATAAAAATGACTTTGCTTTTTTTCTTTTATTTATGACGGTAATTCTTTGCTTTTAAAAAGAACTTTTACCCCATTCACACTAACAAAACCAAGTTTTAATAACACTCGCTTTTAAAACGTTGTTTAGTTTAAACTTATTTTAAAAATATTTCGTGTCACACTAAAATAAATCTGATTTATTTTTACGCAACCGAATATAACTTAAATTTCGTAACTCAAGTAAAAGTATTTTTGATGATACTTCCAGTCACGTCAATTTTTAAGTAATTTTTAAAAACATTAACAAAATGAAAAATTTACGAAATAAAGAATTATTGAAAACTTTCTCATCTAAAGTTAATTTGCTCAAGTATTATAGAAGACGACGCCAGCGAAGTAATTTTCATTTGCAATTATTAAATCAAATTATCTTCAACTATATCTCAAGACCTCGGTTAGTTTGGAAAAAATCAAGATCTCAAAACTTTTATTTTGATAATATGAATAAGTATTGGACAGAATCTGACTGGGTTGCAAATATAAGAATGTCAAAAGAAGCTTTTATATACTTATGTTCAGAATTAGCAATATTTATAAAAACAAAAGACACTAATTTAAGAAAGACTGTTTCAGTTGAACAGAAAGTTGCAGTAACTGTGTATTTTTTCTCTGGATCTTCTGACATTCGAACAATAAGCAACCTTTTTGGTCTGGGTTGTTCAACAGTATGTCAATTAATTCACTTGGTAACAAATGCAATTGTTGATAACTTGCTAAAAAAATATATATCTACCTCAAGAAGCAGAGGTAAAAGAAATTATGAAACAGTTTGAAGATATGTCATTTTTTCCTCTTGTTGTGGGTGCAGTTGATGGATGTTATATGAGAATAAAAGCACCGAAAAAGAATCCAGAGGATTACATTAATCGCAAAGATTATCATTCAATTATTCTTCAAGGTTTTGTTGACTGCAGATATCTTTTCCGAGACATAATCGTTGGTTGGACAGGCAAGTCTTACGACTCTCGCGTGTTTAAAAACTTTCCTTTATACTTAGAATGCCAGCAAAAAAGTTTCCTACCAAGTAATTTCTCAAGAAGCATTGTAGAAAAAGAAATATCTCCTTTAATTTTAGGGGATTCTGCATACTCTTTGGAAGAATGGCTAATGAAACCTTATTCAGATCGCGGGAATCTTTCAAGGGAAGAAAAAAATTTCAACTTTTCACTGAGTAGATCTTGTGTAGTAGTGGAGAATGCTTTTGGTAGGCTTAAAGGAAGATTCCAATGCATTTCCAAACGCTTTGACACATCTGTTGAAAATACTGTTAAAATAGTAAGTGCATGCTGCATTCTTCATAATTTTTGTGAAATTAGCAATCACAGTTTCTCCGAAGATTGGTTGCACGGTATCGATGTTAACATGGTTAAAATAAGCATTGGGAGAAATTATTCTGTTCGAATTGAAGCAGAAGAAATTCGGTCAGCAATAAAACAACATATTACAAGTTGTATAAACCTTTTTAATAATAATTGAAATGCACAATTTTTCATAAAATAAGGATCTCTTTATTCAAAAAAGGTATTACCTTTTTTGAATAAAGAGATTGAATTAAGGTAATAGGAATCTAACTAAATTTAAAACCTTTCTCATAATGTTACAATATCATAATAAAAACAAATACAAACCTAATTTTAAAAACATAAACTATTGATAGCCTTGGAGGAGCTAGACAGTAATGTCAATAGACAGCAATGTATATTTGAAATGTGTACAACTTATTTGTAAAAGATGCCAAAATATACCTTTCAGTATACATACATTGCTTCTCGCAAATATATTTAAAAAAAATTTGCAAAAGTAACACAAAAAAAAAACAAAACTGTCTAGTCTTTAATAAACAGGCTATGTGGAATAAAGATAGTTAATCATTTCAAGTAAAAAACAAAGATATAAAAAAATAACTTTTTTAAGAGTTTCTAGTTGTTATATATAAATATATATATAAATAAATATAGTTATATATATATATATATATATATATATATATATATACATATATATATATATATATATATATATATATATATATATATATATATATATATATATATATATATATATATATATATATATATATATATATATATATATATATATATATATATATATATATATATATATATATATATATATATATATATATATATATATATATATATATATATATATATATATATATATATATATATATATATATACTTCTACTAGTGATGGTAACAAATGGAAACTAAATTATAATTAAATGTCTCTTTATATTCTCTGAAATTCTAACTCGTCTCGATCAAGCAACCTTTTAACATCTTTATCATTCCTTACAAGTACATTAGGAAGTTTTATTGTAGCTATATTTTGACTAAAAATAAAGTTAAATTCATCCAGAATCAATTTAGTTAACTGTTGCATAGTCATTTCCAACAATTCTGCTTCAATAAAAAACTCCTCTCCTTTTTCTTTTATTTTTAACAATGCTGAACTCTTATTTTTTTATCAGATGAATTATTTTTAGGTTCACTATCAAGAAGTATTGAAAAAAACTCTTTATCTGATTCAACTTGTGCTTTAAAAAAAAATTTCATGTTTGCATCAAGTCTTTCAAATAAAAGTTCAGAAGAATTCTTTTTTTTTTCTTGTTTTTTTAAAAAAAATGACTGTTGGAAGTTGATGTTGAATCTTCAGGGAAGTTCTTAGCTATGCAATTGACTGGGCCACAAACAGAACTTATCTTATTTTTAAAATCAATTTCAACAGGTTTAGGTAGCTCAAAAGAAGCATTTTCCAGAGTTTTTGAAAAACTTCCAGAAGAACTTGTTAAATGTGATGTAAAGGTGGTTGGTCTTTCTCTTAAAACTCCATCAATTTCATTAAAACAACAAGGCACCTTAGGTGTGGATGCTCCAGTAGCATTTCTTTTATTGTCCATATAATGTCTATATGCACAGAGCAAAGTATGTATTCTTGTTTTACAAGAATCTCCATCTCGGTCTAAGTATCCCGCTGCTTTGACATATAAAGCCACATATACATCATCCCATATTTTATTTTTTCTTGTACAGGACTTTAAACGTTCCTGAATGTTTTCTTCTGAACATTTCACTATAAGTACTTTTGTTTCGGTTTCATCCCAATGTCGTGAACTTTTAAAAACTTTTTTTTCTTGTATATCCATTTAAGTATATATATATATATATATATATATATATAATATATATATACATATATTTATATACATATATATACTACGCTTTTTCAAACTCATTTATTTGAAACAAGGATTTAAAAAGTAGTGTGAACGGAAAAACGCGTCACTAGTTTAAATAACCACGATTAAAACTGGTTTTAATTTTGGTGTGAATGGGGTATTTGGTAACATAAAAAAAAGTAAACAGTTTTTGAAAAGTAAACATTTTTTAACGAAAACAAAGAACGTGGACATTTTTTTATTATTTTTTAGATTTATTAAATTGAAATTATTTTATACTTTTAATAAAATATATAAAAAAAAAATTATAAAAATATTTATTTTTAAATAAGGGTTATGAAATTTTAGTTACAAAAATTTAGGTAATTATATTTAAAACATCTAATTTTACAAACAATTAACCCCCTGTCAATAATTTGTTAAAACTAAGTCAATGCTTTGCGGTATTGGATTTATAAACAACATGGCGGATATAAAATTCTTAAAAGTCTTTTCAATAAGCTGCATCAATTTTTGTCTCTATCTTAAGTTATAAGCACTTTCCAAGTGAGACGTAAAAAATTTTAAACTTCTTAAGTTATACGGAACAAGTCTATATAAAAATTAGAATGTCCACTCAAAATGTTTAGTTTTCCTTTTTTTTTTACATGTAGCGACCAAACTATTACGGAATGTCCATTTTCGCATGAGCAACTTCCGCAATAACAGTTGTATTACGGTAGATAAAGATGCAAAATTTTAGCAAGTTTTGTTTTTCGGCGAACAACCCTAGTTTATACTATACTATATTTTATGCTATACTATACTATATTATACTATACTATAGTTTATACTATATTATAGTATACTATACTATGTATAGTAAATTATTTAATACTTATTATTTAATAATTATTATTAATAATTGTTTAATATTTATTTAATAAAGAAATAATTTTTACTCTGTGATATTTCATCGCTGGTTCTGTTTCATGGCATATCTCCTTCATTTGTGATATAAATTAGATATTAGGCAACGGTAGGCAAAAAAGAAAGGTATGTAAAGATTTTGTACAAGCTCGAAAAAACAATTTTGACATGTAGCAGAGAAATAAAAAAATTTATCTAGAATATGAAAAAATGATCAATTTGACATAATCAAAAATATATATACCGGATTTTCGCAAATCTAGATTTCATGCCACATTTTAATTTTTACTATTACTGCGCACTGGCTATGATAGCAATTATTAAAAAGATACCATAATATTATTAAATCGGTATTTAATTAACATTGTTGAACTACTTTTAAAAAACAGATCAAAACAGTGCCTAGTGTGAGGGTCGAACTCACGACCTTCAGATTATGAGACTGACGCGCTAACCAACTGCGCCAACCAGGCTTGCGACTTGTAGAAACTATTAAATATATAAAACTGTTATAAGTACTCATAACAGTTTTATTTATTTAATCGTTTCCACAAGACGTTTTTATTTATAAAATATTAATTTATATTATAAAATATATAAAATCATGCTAGGTGTAGTTAAGGCAATTTACAAATTATTCGAATTTTTTCAAATATAATTTGTAAAAATTTTTTAAAAATTTGAAATTAGCATGATTTTATCAGGGTAATATGTCCAAAGCTTAACATGTTATAATATTTTTTGCGTAACGTATTATGTCCAAGCGTATAATGTCAGTGTATATCCGAGCTTTACATGTTATAATTTTCTTTGCTTCAGGGGCTGTCCATTAATTACGTCAACAATCTTTTGAAATTTTTTTTTTCTCCGCCTCCCCCTTGTCAACAATTTGTCAAATTTCCAGAGACCCTCCCTATAAAATTACGTCAATTTTTAATTACCCCCATCCCATATAAAGAAGCTACGCTACAAACTCAGCCTAGTTTTCCGTTATTTAAGCCATGAAACTCAATAAAAAAAAAAAAAAAAAAAAATTGTTAACATCAATTTTAATTGACCTCCCTCTCTTCCTTGTCAACAAGTGTCAAAAAAAATCAGGCCCTTCTCTCCCCTATTTCGTTGATGTAATTAATGGACAACCTGTCAGGTTTTTTTAATATTCAAAGAACTTTTTTTTATGAATAATTTTCAAAACCTTTTAACTACCCCCAATAGTAAATCTAAAGAACACCATATTGGACTCTATATATCAGTGACGGAACTTCAAAATTTGGGCCCCCCCGCAAAAGAATGTTTTTTTTGCGGAAAAGAGTTTTATAGTATAAATATTATTGAGAGTATAACTTTTTTTATATGAGGGACCCCTATAGCTGGTAGACCCCCCCGCAACGCAGGGTCCTGCGTCCAGTAGTTCCACTACTGCTATATATCCATATTTCTCATCGACGTTAATATGAACTTTAAATAGGTTAGTAAACCCGGCGCCTGCGATGAAAAGCATGATGGTTCTAGATATTGAGAAGCTTAACACATTACAGATATTAATTTTTATGTATAAGTATAAGAACAACCTCCAACCAAGCGTTTTTTCAGATACTTACTTGATATCGTTTTCTGAAAAATATAATTTGCGTTCAAATACCAGCTACAACTATCAATTAGGGAAAATTAATTCACGTCAGTCAAATTTTTTAATTACAAACCGTGGCCCATCAACATGGAATCATTTCCAAAAATAAAAATATTAAAGACCTAAAAAGCATTTCATTGTTTACACGGGAAACTAACATGCATCTTCTTAATTCCTGACATATATATTTTTTTAATTTACAGTATTTGTTTTTATTTTTGTTTTTTTTCCGTCTTCTTATTTTTCTTGTTTTTAATATTTTTTGTTTTTGAATTTGTTACACTAAAAAATATGAGCTTTGTTTTTATTGAATTTTTATTTTATTTTTAAAAATTAAATTGACTATATGAAAAAGTTGTGATGTTAAACGCATCATCCTTACCTTCTTTGAGTCCCTGACTGATTAGAGCAGAATATACATAATATAAAATAAAAAATTATGAAAAACGTTTTTTATCATGTTTATTTTTACGGCGTGTATTTTATGTATTTTTTACATGATTGTATGAAAATTGTTATTGAAACTATTTAATCAGCAAAATAAAAGTATATATAATAATAATAATAAATAATAACTTAGTTAAAATCTTTTGAAAAAGTGCCTTAACCTACTACAGATCCTAGGACTATGCGGTTTTGACGAATATTACCAATATATAATAGTCAAAATACAATATTTCTTTTTTTTATTAATTTTCACAATAAATACTAGAATTCTGACCTAGAAAGAGCTTATAATTAAGAAAATTTGAAAAAAATTGAAAAAGAAAAAGAGCTATAATTAAGAAAAATTGCGTATAAACAATCAGAACAGATCAAATTATTAAACAATTATGTTTATTTCACCTAAAAAACATACTTATTTAAAATCTTGTTCATATTTGGACAAGCAATTGTGATTTTAAGAAAATTAAAAAAAAAAAAGAATGTTTGGTCTGGGTTTCTTTGCAGTAATCATTTATATTTTATGATAGGGCAAAATTTATTATTTTAAATTTTTTTCGTCTTTTTAAAATTCACAGACCTGATCATTTAACTGAATATATCGTAGTCAATAAAATATCTTACAGACGCTATAATATTTTAAAATTGCCTTAACTACATCGAGTGTCATATATAAATCAAAGCCAACAACACCGGGGGCCAGGGCCCCCCACTTTTTTACTAAAAACCTTTGTTCTGAAGAACCTTTTTTTTTTGAAGAATTATTTAGATAAAGGACCTTTTTTAGAATTTGACACTTGTTCCCCCCCTCCCCCACCCGACTTAATAACCGCGCCGTAAGTGCTGTAAATAATATATAAATATATATAAATATATGTCATATATAAACATCGCATATAAAATACTTTTTTTAAAATTAAGTCTATGTTTAAAATAGAGCCTATGTAATTTTTAAAAATAGAGTCTATGTTCAAATATAAACAGTGCCGTGTCTAGTGAGTGGGAGATCCCCCCCCCCCTCTAATACGTGTCATCAGAGCTTGTTTCTTAAAAAAATTTCAACTAGGTATAACTAAAAAAAGTAATTAAAACTAGCCACGGCTCTGAATATAAAGGGTGGTCGATATTACTTCCACTCAAAGCGGCAATTGTCAACTTTTTCCACCCCTGTTTTTATAATTGATTATGAGAATATATCTATTTTGAAACTAAAAAAAGACGTACGTCTAAAACTTTAATGAAAACACTGTAATGTACCAGCGGGTAATTGTTTTTATAAGTTACGTTCTAAATGTATTTTAAACGTCTTTTAAACGTCTTTTAAAATTCTTGCGTAAAGAACGTTTAAAAGACGTTTAAAAAACGTTCAAAAGACATTTAGAACGTAACTTTGAACAATAAATGCTCGTATACATGATTTCGCTAACTGCTAACTCAGAGTTTGCCGAAAAACTTTACGGAAAATATTTTTTCGAGCAAACGAAAAAGTTAAAAATATCAAGGGGCCAAATATGCTTTAAAATGGAATAAACGGTCTTACATTACTTGATTTTCAACCTCTGAAAATTATTTGGATGGCGTATAACAACAATGTGATTTTCTTTAAATATTAAAAATTGTGTTTTAGTTTACTTCTTTAAAAATTGTATAAACATAAAATTTAATAGCCCAGCTGGCAAATAACGTTGAAATAACGTTGAAATATCGTTGAAACCTAACGTTGAATTAACGTTGGTTTAACATTTAGAATGAAGGTTTTTTTAACGTTGATTTATCAACGTTAAACGACTGTAAAACACTTTTTCACCATCAAAAAGCGCTATGTATGTCAAAATGTATATATGTATGTAAACGTGCTATGTGCGTCAAAATATGATCACCATTAAAACGTACTATGCATGTACATTAGTGTTGCTGTACATTATCAAGGTATATTATGGATATTAAATCTATTCATAGTCTATACTTAGACTATTTAGAACTTTTTCAGTTTAGTTTAGTTAAAATAGCTAGGTATGATTAAAGAAAGAGATAAAACTTGTTTTATTCAAAAATACATATTCAAATATTACATATATTTACATGTAATTGAATAAAATCTACGCAAATTTCTTCTCTTTTCCACCACATTTTTGAAATAAAGCGTAATTTAGAAAGTCAAACAATATTCCATTAACCGAGAGTCTTTTGGTCCATTGAATACAATATAAGAAACTGTAAATAAAAAAAATTTATTAAAAAAAAAACAAAAAGGGAAGATTTAAAAAATAAATAATCAATGGAATCAATGTTACAACTTATGAAGGTGTATCTTTTTCAACGCCATATAGATTAGTGTTCTTAAAACATATTTTTCCACCTTTGCCCTTCATATCCATCGAGGCCATATAACTTTTCGAAAATACTCTGAATTTTTAAAAAATAATATAACTGTTAGTTGGTTATTAATAACTTTTTCAAATATTTAATTTAAATAAAACAACCTTTTTAATATATTAAAAATAAATTAATAATCAAAATATAAAACATTTCAAGCATTGAAAAATAATTTTCTGGGTGGCCACATAAAATTTTTATAAGAAATTTTATGTGGCCATTTATTAATGGTTTAACGTCCATGTTTATACACTTATGGGGCTTGGACAGGGATCAAATAATGTCATTTGTTATGTTAAATAGCATGCATTTTCTAAAGCAATTTTTTACAATTCCATGCACTTTAAGGCGTTAACCAGTTTTGCAGACCGAGAATGGGAATTTTGAACATTATACATCCATCAAAAATTAAAAAAGGAAGTATTAATGAGGAGCTTTGATCAAATTTTTACCTCTTTAGAGGATAATCGAGGATTTTAGAAGTGGTTTTAAAAAAAGAGGACTTTAGACGATTTTAGAGGAGCTGCAGACACCCTAATTATAAATGAGGTAACTCCACCAATTAACTGTAATTGATTTATCTGTAAAAAAACATGAAGTAAATCTAATATTATGCTTGTGGAGATATATTATATTGTGGAGAACCATCCAAACCACACAAGTGGAAAATTTGCATCCAAGTTTCCACTTGTGTGCAAATCTTGCATCCACTTGTCAACATTCTCATTATCACATTTTTCTTTTATAGTTGTGAAATTAAAATTTTCACAATACTGTTTGCTTTCTTTTAGAATTGAAATAGTTATACAAATAGTTATATATTTTGTATCAACAAAATAACTCTTCTTACCACATTATTTAAAAAATAATAATTGTAATATATAGATGTAATACCTAAAGAGAATTTAGTTTTTATTTGTATAAACTTAAGCCAATTCTTCTCTGCATTTTAGTGCAGTCAATGCTTTGGTACCTGGACGCCGACAAAAAGTTTTATCACTAATCCAATCAGATGGAATTACTTCTTCTTGTAATCAGAATCCAATCAGATAGAATTACTTCTTTTTGTAAATCTTTATTCCAAACAGCTCCTTTCCGCATATTCGATTTTGAAAAAATTACATGAACTAATATAAAATGAAGAAACCATAATATAAGTGTACTAACAGGCCTAATTAAACTAGCTAAATTTGAACATTTTATAACCATGATACTTGCTAAACAATAATATTAGTAGACATTATAAGCAAAGATAAGATTTTCTTTATTTTATAAATTTATTATATTTTAAACTCATTTTTATTAATTTATTTATTACTCTATTATTCAGCAAAGTTCTGAATATATTATGTTCAAATAACTTAAGGCTCAATAACAAAGACAAATAATGAAAAAATACTAGGTTGCTAAAACATAAACATCTACATAAGATAATTATGGAATATTGAAAAAAAATAGAAATACAAAAAAACAAAAATACTCATTATTAATATAAAATATAATAGTATAATATAAGGTATATTATAATATATGACACAATAATATCTACTTTTAATTAAAATAAAAAAAACAACAAAAATTAAAAAAGAAAATATTTTGATAAATAATAAATTATCATTCAAACAATTTTCAAGACCAAAAAATAACTTGTAACTTATTTTTTTACTTATCTTCATCTAATAAACGTTACTTATTTTTTACTCATCTTCATCTAATAAACATTAATATTAATACCAATTTTAAACATTATTAGAATTTTTTTTTATCAAAAAATAAAAATATTACATCAGTTACTTTTTGGGCTTTTCTTATTTTACTTAAAACATCAACTCAATTCTAGGCTTTTTTCATAATTGAGTTTTAATTTGTAATGTTGAATTAACACTGAAAAAAAAATATTAGCAGACAAAAAGAAAATATTTCTTTATTGAAATATATGTAAATATTTCAATAAAGAAATTTTAGATCAATTTTTATAAATATAAATTTATATCAATCAATCTAAATTTTTTTCTTTTCCGCCACCTTTTCGAAATGAAGCGCATTTTTAGAAGTTAGACAAAATACCATCAATTAAAGTTTCAGTCGCTCCATCATATTTAATAGAAGAAGCTGTTAATAAAAAAGAATTAAAAAAAAAAAAAAAAAACAAGAGGAGAAATTTTTGAATATATAAAAAATGAGAATAAAAAAGTTTTACATATCTTATAAAGGTATACCTTTCACTACACCATATAAATTAGTGCTCTTAAAGCATATTTCCACCTTTTCTCCTTCATATTCATAGAGGTCACAATATTGTTGGAAAATATTCTAAATTTTAATAGATAAGAGAATTGATATTAATTGTGCGAGAACTAATATTAATTTTTTTTTTTTAATTTAAATTAAACTCATTATCAAACAATTTTTTTGCTAAATAATTTAATCCTTAAAATTCCTGAATAATTAAAAATTATTTTGATTACCTCAGCATTTTAAAGATATTCCATCAATTGCAATAGATTCACCTAAAAAAAACAACAAGTAAAGCTAATATTATTGTTTGAAATTTTAATTATCTTTATATAAATACTCATCATATTTTTAAAGTGACTGATAAAAATGGATTTAATTAAAATCACTTCATTTGTATTAAAAAATTAATATTAAAGCCTTAATCATACGTTATACATCTTTACTTGGAACAAAAACCATGTGGTTTAAAAGTGAGCTAGAAGCTTTCAACAATGAAGAAAATATTGCCTTCACTAATCCTAAAAATATATTCAACCTGTCAGCAAAATCAGCTGTCAATAATCCAAGTATTAGCATCATTAAAAATTTATTTTTGCTGCATTACATTTATTTTGGTCCAAGTAGTTAAGGATTTTTTTAAATTTCAAAAAACAGAAGTAAATGTTTTTTTAATATCACTTTATCTCTTTTGATTAATGGTGATACTGCACTAACTGATGAAACACATTGACAGATGTAAGGCCAGTATAAAAGTCGCAAGATCTATTTTTTTTAAAATAAATGTTTGTATACAAGTAAATTGCAATAACACGATTTGTTTGGATTATGTTTATATACAAGTTTGTCTGTTTTCATAGTAATAACTGATGTGGTTGAAGTTAATTTTTCAAATAAATCTTTATTTTTTTATTTCGTGCTGAAGTTCTTTTTTAAAGTTATCAATTTCCTTTTTTAATTCTCTATTAATGCTCTTTTTAATAATTAATTTTAATGCTCTATTAAAAAACAACGCTTAGCATTAAATTCAACATAATTTAAAGGATCATTTTTTGAAAAAGCTGTATTTTATTTACATTTAATAATATCAGTCTTTGAGCATTGTAGCCCAAGATAAACGAAAAATATCGATTTTTAAACGATAATGTTCTTTCAGGAAAATCGTCTGAACATGTTTTCGATCTCTTGAAAATTCTATATGATATAAGTTCAGTATTTACATTTTTTTTCCATTATAAATCTCTATAACTTTAACCGTTGAAATAATGTTTACGATTTTACTTCCATTTCTGCGCGCGCATAAACTTTATATCTTATTTTTTGTCAACAATGATTGAAATAATGACGTTGAAATAACGTTAAATATTCAACGTTTAAACTGTAACGTTGATTTAACGTTGAAATAACGTTAAATAATCAACGTTTAAAAGGTAACGTTGATTTAACGTTGTGACATAGTTGAACAACGTTGAAACAACGCTTCAACCGAATTTCAACGTTGAAACAACGTAATAATGCCGGCTGGGAGTTCTCTATTTTGTTTCGGTAGACATTGCGCTAATCACTATTTATCAACGAGTTGGTTATCAGTACCAGTCTCAAAAATATTTATAATATCCGCCTAAAATGCGTTAATTAAATACCATTGGTATAAAAAGTTTCCAAAAACATGAGATGACTTAAATATGTGGAATAATTGACTTCCCATGACCTGTATAACTATTACTGAATACTAATATATTACTGGTCATGGTAAGTCTATTCCACACCTACCATTTTAATAATTTCGTTTTATTTCAATGATTTTTAAAAAAGACCGAAATAAAAAAAGCTTTGTTTTGATTTAACAATTAATTTTCTGTAAACTTATATATATATATATATATATATATATATATATATATATATATATATATATATATATATATATATATATATATACAGGCGCGGATCTATATATATATAGATATTATTATTTATTATTTATTTACACTTTTGCCGATAAAAAAATATTTACAGTCGTAACTTATAAAAAAAAATAATTACATGACCGGGGCTAGAAGAAGACAAATTTAGTCTTATCATTAAGCCCCAATATATATATATATATATATATATATATATATATATATATATATATATATATATATATATATATATATATATATATATATATATATATATATATATATATATATATATATATATATATTTATATATATATATATATATATATATATATATATATATTGGGGCTTAAAAAAAAATATATATAAATATATATAAATATATATATATATATATATATATATATATATATATATATATATATATATATATATATATATATATATATATATATATATATATATATATATATATATATATATATTTATATATATTTTTTTTGCGAAAACTTTTGACGTGAACGGACGTGCTTTTGTAAACTAAATTAAAAATGACTAAATTTACCGTTTCTCAAATTAAAGATCTATTAGATATTCATGAGAATACTTTATTGAAAATATTTAACGAGAGGTTTGATAAAATGGAAATCAAACTATTAAATCTTCAAGAAGAAAATTCAAAACTAAAAAAAGAAACTAGTGAATTAAGGAAATTGGCAGAGTTTTCTTAGCGAGAAGTATGAATCAATTGTTCAAGAACTTTCTGAAATAAAAAAAAAGCCTAACTCAACATCAAGCCAGAATGATATAACAAATGTTGTTGTCAAAGACAAACTTGCTGAGTTGGAAGACAGAAGCAGAAGAAATAATCTAAGGTTTACAGGAATTGAGGAAGACGAAAATGAAACGTGGGAATTAAGCGAAGAAAAGATTTAAAATGTTTTAAAGTCAAAACTTGGTTATAAAGGTAATGTTGAAATTGAACGGGCGCACAGGACGGGGAAAAAAAATAGCGATGGAAAAAAGTATAACAGAACCATAATAGTAAAATTTTTAAATTACAAAGACAAAAAAACTGCGTTGGATAACTATGTTCAGTTAAAATTGTGGAACGATCGGCTTTACGTAAACGATGACTACAGCGAAAGAACTTTGGAATTGCGAAAACAGTTATTTAAAGAAGCAAAAGATCTGAGAGCCAAAGGTAAATATGCTAAAGTTGTATATAATAAACTTGTAACACGCGCAATTAAGAAATTCTTTTATATTAGAGTTATTATTTTATCTTAAATTTTTTATTGTTTTTTAATACTAAAATGGATTCAAATCATTTAAAGAATTTTGATATTTTTCAATTCAATGATTTTATACTCAACAAAGAGCCCGATCCGGATCAAAGTTTTCTTAGCGAAACAAGTGCTTTACAAAGCAACTGCAGCTGTTTCTATAGTTATGAAATAAAAGAATTTCTTGAGCATGATAAATTTAATGCAGTTCATATAAATATAAGAAGTTTAAAAAAAAAATTTGAAAATCTTTGCAATAGTTTTGAGGAAAATTTAACTCTTTTTAGTGTAATATGCATAACTGAAACTTGGTGTAGCTCTAATGACTCAAGTTTAGGTAATAAATTTAAAATACCGGGCTATAATTTGATTTCATTAGGAAGGAAAACAAATAAACGCGGCGGTGGTTTAATTATTTATGTAAAAGAAAACCTTCAGTATTATATTAGGCATGACATGAGTATATCTGATGTCAATAAAGAGGTTTTAACAATTGAAATATTGAACAATAAAACTAAAAACATTGTGATAAGCTGTTTTTATCGCCCACCTACAGGCGAAATTAGAACTTTTAGTACATTTTTACAAGATGATGTTATAAATAAAAGCAACCATGAAAAAAATTACTTTTCATATTAGGTGATCTGAATTTAAATTGCTTTGAGTATCATGTCAAAAAAGACATTAATGGGTTTTATAATGGCCTATTTGAAAACGGAGCAGTTCCTCTAATAAACAAACCAACTAGAATTACTCAAACAACAACTTCCTTAATTGATAACATTATAACCAACGATATTTTTAATAATTCCCTTAAAAAAGGCATTATTAAAAGTGATATATCTGATCACTTCCCTATATTTTTTTCAATTGATATTTATGCGAAAACTTTATGTTATGAAAAAAAATCATTTAAAAAACGAATTTTTCATAATAAAAACCTAGAATCTTTTAAATATCAACTATCGTTAATTAATCGGGACATTATAAACTTTTCTGATTAAGCAAAAAAAATTAAGCAAAAACTTTATATTAAATATTTAAAATCAAAAACAACTGAGAGTAAGACTATTTATAAAAATTACGTAAGATTATTGGAACGCCTAAGGAAAAATTCAAATAAAAATATATTTCACTAATTTACTTGAAAAATACAAATTAAACTCAAAACGCACTTGGCAACTAATGAACGAAATTACTGGTAACACTAAAAAAATTTCGCAATCTTAGCCCTCAGTTATCAAAGTAGATGATAGTCTTCTTCTTGATCAAAAATCAATTGCTTCTGAATTTAATAAATATTTTGTATCTGTAGGACCAAACCTAGCCGAAAAAATTCCGAACCCTACAAAGTTAATAAAATCAAGATATGGCCCTCTAAACTCGTATCTGAATTCTTTTGATTTGTCTTTTGAAGAGTTTGAAAGTGCTTTTAAATTGTTAAAGTCAAATAAAGCAGTTGGTCCTAATGATGTCAACGGAAATATTATTATAAGCTGTTTTGACGTTTTAAAAGGCATACTTTTCCAAATTTTTAAATGCTCTATTAATCAGGGAGTTTTTCCTGATGATTTAAAAATAGCAAAAATTATTCCTATATTTAAAGAAGGAGAAAAAACGAATGTAAAACACTATCGTCCAATTTCCATCCTCTCTGTTTTTTCTAAAATTTTAGAAAGAATTTTGTACAACAGAATATACAATCACCTTTTAACAAACAAATTATTATATAACATGCAATATAAATTCAAAAAAAATAATTCAACAGACCATGCAATTATTCAACTTACAAGAAGTATATCAGACTCATTTAACAATTCTAAATTTACATTGGGAATATTTATTGATTTAGCGAAAGCGTTAGATACAATTAATCATCAAATTCTTATTAAAAAATTAGAATATTATGGTATAATAGGCAATGTTTTAAAATGTTTGAAAAGTTATTTAACTAATCGTAAACAATTTGTTTATGCTGATAAATCATTTTCATCAAATTTGTTAAATATTACATGTGGAGTTTCTCAAGGATCCATATTAGGACCTCTTCTCTTCCTTATTTATATTAATGA